TAATAATAATAATAATAATAATAAAAGGGAAATGAAAATGTAATTTGAGCTGAAAGAAAATGAAAATAAACATACAAAAATTGCTGGGATGCAGTTAAGACAGTACTTAGATAAAAGTAAGAGCACTATAAGCTTGGATTACAAAAGAAGAAAGGTCTTAAATCAATAAACTCAGCATTTATTAAACCAGAAGGGAAAAAGAGCAAATGATACCCAAATTAAGTAGGAAAAAAATTAATAGATTTCAGAGAAGAAATCAATGCACTAGAAAATATAAAATCAACAGAGAAAACCAATGAAATCAAAAGATTGTTCTCAAATAATATAAGTAAAATTGATAAGATTTTAGCCAGTGTCATTAGGGAAAAAAAAGAAATATGACCAATATGAGGAATGAGAGAGCTAATATTACATCAGATCTGCAGTAATTAAAAGGATTTATGAGGCAAAAAATGAACAACATAAAAATCTGACAACTTAGACAAAAATGAAAAGTTTCTTGAAAGCCAAAACCTACCAAAGTTCATTCAAGAAGGAAAATATCTGAATATTATATGTATATGTAATATACAAATGTAATTATTTTTTATATTATCTTAAAAATTATCCCAAAGAAAATTCCAGTCCCAGGTTGCTTCAATGGTGAATTCTATCAAACGTCTAAGTAAGAAATAAAACTAATTCTACACAAACTTCTCCAGAAAATTCAATTAGAGAAAATACTTTCCAACTTGTCCTATGAGATAAGTGTTGTTTTGATATCAAAACCAGACAATATTATGAGAAAAGGAAACTGCAGACCAACATCCCCCAGGAACATTGATTAAAAAAAAACTCTAAAAAAAAAAACTTTAGCAAATTCAATCCAATGATATAAAAATGGATAATACTTAAAGACTAAGTAGGGTTTAGTCCAGGAATACAAGATTGTTTTAACATTTGAAACATTTGAAAATCAATGAATACATTTTATTGTATTACCAAACTAAAAAGAGGAAGCAATACAACCACCTAAGCAGAAAAAGTCAAATCAGTTGATAAAATCCAACATCAATTCGTGAAAAAAAAAAAAAAACTCTTAGCTAAGTAGGAATAGAAAAAAATTTCTACATGCTTATGGAGGATATCTACAAAATACTCACAGCTAACACCACATTTAATGGTGAAAGACAAAATGCTTTTCCTCTAAAATCAGGAACAAGACACAGATGTCTGATGTCAGTATTTCCATTCAAATTTGTGCTGGATGTTTTAGCCAATGGGAAAAGGCCAGAAAAGAATATAAAAGCCATCCAAATTGCAATGAAAAAGTAAAATTGCCTTTGTCTGCAGACAACATGATCATCTATGTACGAAATTCAATAGAATCTACAGAAACACTACAAATAAATGGGTTTTGCAGAGTTTAAGTTATAAGATTAATATACATGATAACAATGAATAATGGGAAACTGAAATTTAGAAAAAAACACTGTTTACAAAAGCACCTAAAAATAATACACATAAATCTGAAAGACATACACTGAAAACTGTAAGACTCCTCAGAAAAATTAAAGGACCGATATACCACATTTGTGGATTAGAAGACCCAATATTGTTAAGATATACATTTCCCCCAAATATACCTATATATTCAATACACTCCAATCAAAATCCACTAGCCATTTTCTATAGAAATTGATAAGCTGATTCTAAAACACATATGGAAATGCACAGGAACTAAAACAAACAAAACTATTTTGAAAGAAAAACAAAAAAACTATACTACTTGACTTTGAGATTATTACAAAGCAATAATAATCAAGACAGTGTGTTATTGGTGTTACCGGTGACATGAACGGAAGAGAGTAAAGTGTGTGTAAACAGACTCACGCACTATGGCCAACTGACTTACAATGAAGACGCAAAAGCAATTCAGTGGAGAAAGCTTAATCTTTTCAACAAATGGTGCTGAAATGGATTATTCGCTCCAAAAAAAAAAACTTTGATCTATGTACCTTGCAGCACACACAAAAATTAACTGAAAATGGATCATACAACTAAGGGTAAAACTTAAAAATATAAAACTTCCAGATGCAAACATAGAAGAAACTCTTTACAACTTTGGACGAGGCAAATTTATTTTTTCAGATACAACACCAAAAAACAATTCTCTAAAGAAAAATTGATATAATGGACTTTAACTTTCAGGTAGAGTAAATGATTTTCAATGTTAAGGATGAAATTCATTTTTCTTTGGGTTTCCAACCATCCTTCAACTACTATCTCTCAACATTTCCTCTTTAAAGGGCAACAGTAACCACTTAAACCAGTCCCTTCTAATCTTCATCACCTTCTTTAGTCCCCTTTCCTACCCCCAAAATTCCCCTGCCTTCCTTATTTTAGCATTTGTCTCCATCTATTCCCTCACTAAAATACTTGATACTTCAGTATCCACATTGATGATTCCTCCATTGCCTGACCTCATAAATTCTCAATCTTTTTACCCATTAATCATATTTCTTGTTCCTTTCACTATCTTGCTTTTCTATAGAGTATAATTCCAGTTAAACATAGTAAATAGAATACATGGCTATTTCTCCACTCCTTTCCAAAATCTTACCAAAATACGATATAGATATTAAAAGTAAAAATTCACAATAACAAAGAGAATAGAAAAGGGGACACCACAGATGAGCCATGTCAACAAATTTAAGAAAATGAAAAGCAGGTAAGTGGTAACTGATTAGCATATCAGGAAAAGATGAAACAGAAGCGTTCTGCAAAGCAGAGTTCAAGAAGAAAAGGCCATGCTTGGGGAGAAGAAATTAGAGGAAGGTGGTCAAAAGGTACAAACTTTCAGTTGTAAGATAAATTAGTACTAGCAACATAATGTACGACATGAAGGTATAATTAACAGTGTTGCATGGTATATGTGAAAGTTGTTAAGACAGTATATCCTGAGAGTTCTCACCACAAGGAGAATTTTTTTTTTGCTTTTCTTTTTTTTGTACCTATATTTGGATGATGATGTTAACTACACCTTTCCTGGTTTATATATATACATATATATATACATATATATATATACACTACATATTTCATAAACATAATATATCTAATATATAAATCAAAATACCATACTGTATGCCTCAAACTTTTACAATGATGATGGCAATTATTTCTCAATATAAAATTGGTGAAACAAGAATAAAAGGTGAATTTATAGGGTTAGACAACTCCAGCAAAGTTCAAGAACTGAAGAAACCTAAATGGAGGAAGAGGAGAGGGTGTTAAAACAGGGTTGATGTGAAGTATACAAGGAGCAGGCAGAACTCCAGCTACTATTGTTCAGCCCACACTGACATACAACTAATCTGCCCTCAATGCAGAAGAAAACAAGGAAAAAAGTACCAAAGAGTTTTGGGACTCGAGACACCAGGCAGCTTACCAAAATGAGGAAGATAAACTAAAATATGCTCTTAGAACACTCAACCTACTTGCCCTATCTATTTTCATTACATAACAGAATACAAGATACTGGTTAAATTTAAATTTTGGATAGATGATAAATAATTTTTAGTGTATGTATGTCCCAAATATTACATGCAAATTTTACTGGTGTTCTTTATTTTTATTTGCTGTATCTCGCAACTGTACCTTTAGGCTAGAGACTGGAGATTCCCCTTTGGAAAGCCTAAATGATCCAGAAAAGGCAACTGAAAGATATTAACAGCAAGGGGTTCTCAAAGAAATCACAGATCCTTAACTGACCACACACACCACACATACATTCTCCGTAGGAAAAAGAAATTCCCCCTACAATTTACTCAAATCCTAAGTCCCATAAGTAAAAGGAACACATTAATTTTTTTACCCATGTAAAGTAAAACAGCTAAGATTTTTTTTTAACTTTGAATAAATATAGTGAAATGTGATATTTAAATAAGACAACAGAAATAAATAGAGCAAAAATCTGAGAACTATTAAGATGTATATCTCATCTATTTTTAATACTTTCAAAGAACAATTAACAGCACAATTTCAGCCTTTATTTTTATGGCCCTTTAAAAAAATTTTTTACATGATATTTTTACAGCCTTGGAGTTAAAAAACCATACTGTTCATCCAAAATATTTTCAAGTATGATTAACTCTTCAATACTAGTATTGTAGTAATGAAATGATAGCATAAACCAACATGTTTAAATAGTCCATGTGATTTACTATACTAATGATTCACAGAATAATTCAGGGAAATTGAGTTACAATGAAAGTTTGTGTCAAAAAAAGAGAACAGCAGGACTGAAGGGGCCCAAAGAGGGACAGTAATAGAGAAAACAAAATTTTTAAGAATGGCTCTCAAACTTTACTAATCATTAGAATAACCTGGACATCTTTAAAAAAAAAGATTCAAAAGTTCAAAAATTTCAAACCTATTGACTCAGAATATCAAGAGACAGGGCCCAAAATATATAATTTTGAAACTTCCCCTAAGAGATTCTGATAAGCAACAAGATTTTGGAACCACTGCTTTAAAATGCTAACATGAGTATGCTATATTTCAGTAATATGATCTATTTGCCTACCGCACAGTTTTGATGCTATACACAATAAGTGATGGAATTCTTTTGCTTACCTTGGATACATTGCTGGCATAATTCATTTGGATGGTACTTTCCTTATCGACTTGATTACAAAGGTTCTGTAAAGTAGACGCATATTCTTTATCACTTTTTATTCTCAGGGCCATAAATTTCTTCACTGTTTCCAGTAAACGTAATTCCCAATCTTGCAATTTTAACACAGCTTCATGTGAATTCTTCAGGTCACTCCCAAACCCCATTTTTGTAAGGCACTGTCTTATCGTCCACACTGCACAAGCGAGCCTTCTAATCAGCACATATCTGTGTGTGTAAATAGAAGAAAAAAAAACTTAAATCAAAGGTAATCAGTCTTCAAAGCAAAGTTATAGCCCATTCTTTTAAGGTTAAAAATCACTAAAACTGAATGTTTTCCCCCAAAGATCAGGAACAAGATGAGGATGTCCATTCTCACCACTTCTATTCAATATTATACAGAAAGTTCTAGCCAATTCCATGAAATAAATGAAGTAATTCCCACTGAAATTAGGAAGAACTAAAACTGCATTTCTAGATGATGTGACAATGTATATAGAAAATCCTAAAGAATGCAATAAAATGTGTATTAGAACTAATAAGTAAGGTCAGTAAGATTACAGGGTATAAGATCAATACACAAAAATCAACTGTATTTCTGTACACTAGCAAGGGTCAATCTGAAAATGAAATTAAAAAACAATTCTATTTACAACAATATCAAAATGAATAAAACATTTAGGAATAAATTTTACAAAATAAATGCAAAACTTGTACTGTTAAAACTATAAAACATCATTAATGAAATTAAAGAAGACCTAAATAAATGGCAAGACCTGTTAATGGATTTGTAAGGCTTACTAATGTTAAGAAAACAATAGTCTCCAATTTGATCTATAGATTTAACTCAATCCATTTTAACATCTAAGAGAGCTTTTTTATGCAGAAATTGACAAGTTAATCCTAAATATATAAAGAAACACAAGGGAACCAGGAGAAAAAAAAAAACCTTGAAAAAGAGCAAAATTGGAAGACACGCTTCCAGATTTCAAGACTTACTGAAAAGCTACAGTAATCAAGACAAAGTGGTACTGGCATATGGATAAACACAGAGATCAATGAAATAGAATAGAAGGTTCAGATATAAATCCTCACACTTACGGTTAAATGATTCTCTACAAGGGTGCCAAGTCTATTCAATGGGGTAAAAAGTCTTTTCAACTAATAGTGTTCAGACAACTGGATTTCTGCATGAAAAAGAAAGAAGCAGTATGCCTTCCTTAGACTGAACACAAAAAATTAATAGGACCATAAATCTAAAAATCAGAGCTATAACTATAAAACTTTCAGAAGAAAAGAGTAGTAAATCTTTGTGACCTTGGTTTATGCAATAGTTTCTTAAATACAACATCAAAAGCACAAACAACAAAATAAAATACATAAATTGGATTTTATCAAAATTAAAAACTTCTGTACTTCAAAGGTCACCCATCAAGAATGCGAAAAACCACAGAATAGCAAAATACATTTGCAAATTATCCACCTGATAAGAGACTGCTATCTGTAATATATAAAGAATCCTTACAACTCAATAACAAGCAAACCAATTTAAAATGAGCAAGAATATGAATAGCCATTTCTCCAAGAAAGATTCACAAATGTCCAGTGAGCACATGAAAAGATGTTCACTATTATCACCAATTAGGAAAGTTCCAACCCAAACCCGAAAGAGATGGGGTTTCACTTCACAGCAATAGGATGTCTATAATGAAAATGACTGACCAAGTGTTGGAGACTGTAAAGACATTAGAACCCTCATTTACTACTGTTGGAAATGTAAAATGGGCAGCTCCTCAAAAGTTAAACATGGTTATCATATGACCCAGAAATTCCACTCTTAGGTATATATCCAAGATAAATAAAAACATATGCCCATACAAAAACTTGAATATGAATATCCAAGCAGAATTATTCATAATAATCATGAAGTGGAAATAACCCAAACGTCCATCAACTGATGAATGGATAAATTAAAGATGGTATTTCCATACAATGAAATATTATTTGACAACAAAAAGGGATGAAGTATTGATACAAGCTATAACATGGATGAACTTTGTAAACATTATGCTAAATGAAAGAAACCAGACAAAAAAGACTCACATCTTATATAACATTTATTTGAATGTCCAAAATCTACATAGACAAAAAGTAGATTAGTGGTTGCCTACAGTTAGAAAATTTGGGAAGAAATGAGGAGTGACTGCTATGCATACTGGATTTCATTTTCAGGTGGTAAAAATGTTCTAAAATGGATTGTGGTAATAGTTGCACAACTGTAAACAGAACAAAAACCATTGAACTGTAGAGTTTAAATAGGTGAATTCCTCAGCATGTGAGTTATATCTCAATAAGCTGTAAAATAAAGCTGTTATTTTAACATGATCATGATAATTTATGATCATCTAAAGGTCAATTATTTGAAACTTCCCCAAAATACCCTGCTTGTTTGCTATAAATCCCAAAAATTATTATAGAATTTATTGTCTCCCCAGTATCCTGGAATTTCAGGCAGTAAATCTTTTAAAGTCCAGTTAAAAGAAAAGGAGAAACACATCTTTTAATTTTAGTTCTGGCTCATCCATACCAGAAGTTAATTTCTTGTTAATTCAGCTGAGATATTCTAACCTATAAAGAAAAATGAATTTATCTCTCAAAACTTAGTGATGCCATCCAAAGAGATAGTAAAAGTGTCAGTTTTCCAAATGGAGAACAAACTACAATTTTTCCCCAACAGAAAACTGCCCAGTTGCATAATGTATCAAATAAATAGGGGGTAAAAATGGTGGAGGAAAACTGCACCTCACCAAAGTTTCCAAAGTAGCAACCAGGACACTAAATGAACCTTAACATAAATAAGTCAATACAAAGTAACTGACTTTCTCACTTCAATATCAAGTATTTAACATATGGTAACACCCCTAAAGGAATGATAAATACTAAAAACTTTAAAAACAACTCCATAATAAATTTAGGCTATATCTAATTGTTAAATTGGTAGAAATCATAAATATTTTAAGAATTAAGGGAATGATATCCTACATTTAATTTTCCATAGATGTCAAAAGATATATATGAGACTATTCATTTCATGACCTTGGTTTATGCAATAGTTTCTTAGATACAACATCAAAAGCACAAACAAAATAAAAATACATAAATTGGATTTTGTCAAAATTAAAAACTTCTGTACTTCAAAGGCCACCATCAAGAATGTGAAAAACCACAATAGAAGAACATATTTGCAAGTTATCTATCTGATTAGAGACTGCTATCTGTAATATATAAAGAATCCTTACAACTCACTAACAAGCAAACCAATAACAAGCAAACTAAATAACAACAAAAACAAACTAAAAGTATCAGTCAAAAGGAACTGACCACATAAATTATCATCAAGACTGCTGCATTTGATTGTGATGGAGTAATTCTCATGCCATTCAAATCATAGTTTATGTGAAATTGTTCAGGGTCTAAGTTTCACAATTGTACGTGATGGGCCTGATCATGATATAGTCATTCAGTGGAATAATTCAGCACTAATAAAAAATGAGAAAACTTATTTATATGTAGATGTAGAACTATCATTAAGAACTATTAATTGAAAAAAGTAAGATACTGAACTTGGTATGCTTACATCGTGTAAAAAGGAAGAAGAATGATAGAAATTAATTTTGCCTGTGTATGCATAAAACATTTCTAGAAGAACACATAGTGGCTGGGGCTCAGGATTTTCATTGAATACCCATTTGTACATTTGAATTTTGTTCTAAGTGAATGTACTGATATTACCTATTCAAAAAGTAAATTAATGAAAGAAATTTTGAAGAGAAAAAGAAAAATTTAATGAAAGCTGGGCTAGCTCAGAAAGTTTCCTAGAAATGGAAGGATATGATCTAGGGCTGAAATGATCACCGTGATTTAGATTATAAAAAGTTAAAAGCGAAATGTATTTCAGAAAGTAGGAGCAGAATAGGGCAAAAAAAGTAAGTATCAGGTGAAGTAAATAAAGAAATGTCTCCAAAATCAAGCTATATATGAAAACAGTGGGAGATGGCATGCCAATTTATCTTCTGCTATTCAACTGTTCAGGGAACTATTAGTTCAAGATTCAAACTCCTAGAATTAACTGATTTTTATTTCAAAATAACAAGATCATGAATGTGATTTTTTTAATTAATTTGCTGGTGCTAGTTACATAGTATGTTAAGTTTATGAAATTTCATCAAGCAAAGCACCTATAATTTGCATACCTTTCCATATGTATGTTACAGTTCAATAAAAAGATATAGAGCTAGATTTTAAGCTGGAAGCTAGGTATAATATAGCTTGAAGAATGAAAAAACATAAAATGAGACATAAAAGGCAAATTAATATCATTATAGCAATATGGCTTGAGAAATGAAGACCTAGAATTGACAATGTCACTAAGAATTATGATGAAAAAGCCTAGATCTAGTGAATGGATTTAGAGAAAAAAAAAGAGAGAGACGATACAATGACAGCTTCAAGGCTTTAATAAGAAATGATGACAATAAAAATAGAAATGAAACAATGCGAATAAGGAGCAACTTTAAAGAAAATAAATTCATCTCAGCAAAAAATAAATGCTTAGGTACAATATTAAGGCTAAAGATCCACATTTGAGAGTCAATTGCTTAAAGATGATAGATGAAAAAAACAGACTGGATGTTGACAGAAAACCATTTGAGAATCAAGGACAAAGCCTATGAGAATCTGTCAATCAAGGAATGGAGGAATCTAGAGCAATCTGAGGAAGAAAGAGAGAACAAAGGCTAGAGATTAGTAAACAAAAGAATAAAGGGATCTGGCAGAGTTACAGATGGCAGGATGGAAAAAGAAGATATTAGCAAGTTAAACATCAGAAAGAGAAGTGTTATTGTCACTACTGGAATTTTTGGATAAAACTAGTATAATGAAGCAGTACCTCAGAGGCTCCTACCACCAATAACTAATAAAAACAACAATTGTTTTTCAAATAAACCAAAACTTTAAACATAATCAGCAAATAAAGGAGTACAACTTTATGCCACAAGTTTCACAGCATGGTTTCAAAGGAAAGAAGAGAAAATTCTGGTGTGCTAGGCAGCATGGCAATGTGCTTTTTTCAGTTTTCAGAAGATATTCTGAGGAAGAAGAGTTAACAAAACCCTGAGAATTCACATTGGATGCTCTGTTACAGTAAAAAAAAAAAAAAAAAAGCAGAG